AAGAAAACTTTATTAAAGTGTTAATCGTTATAAAACTACAGATTTTGATTAGGGTGCGCGATTAGACAGAAATAGTAGCATGTTACAAACTATTCCTGAAACTTGTTACTAAGCCTGATAATCAACATTTAAAAAATCTACCGGACTATACTGGGTGATGCGTCACCCTGTGTCATCATATTTGACGGGAATGGCTACTTAAACATTGTAAGTAGGAGGTTTGATAGGATATCACTTGGAGGCGTCATTACCAGGTGAAACCCCGGACACGCTGGACGTACTACACACTAGCATTTTTATTTTAGTTGCCCCTTCTTTTTTCCCCTAACTTCTCGCCTGCACTTTTCGCCAAAACTGCCGCAGTATCCAGTAGCTGTATAGATATTCCGCAGCCTCCTTTTCGTCTGGCTTGTTCATATATGGCTGCAAAGTATTCTCGCGCAGCTGCATTTCAGCTAGGGCGGGTGGTTGTTATGGTAACCTAGAATACGAGGATTATTCGTTGCTTTCCTGCAAACCGTTTTTCAGCCCCATCGCCTTCTCCATATACCAGCAAGTCGATAAACGGCAAATAGCAATGCTTTTCTTTCTCAGTTGTTAACTGGATGTCTGTGCGTACTTCAGTCCTGCGAAAATGCATGATAGTAAACGTTTTATCAACGTACCATACCCAAAACATTGACCAATAATGATCAAAAACCGGTGCCTCCAGTCATTTTAGTACCAGCTCCACAATCGAAATGAATAATGGTGTCCCCGTCAGAGCACCTTTGACTTCTTTGTACGCAACTCCATTGATAGCTAACTTGAAATGGGAAAATCGTATGTCAAATGAGGATAAGGCATTCATGTCACCATAAAACAGCTTACGTTTAGCCTGCTACCAGAAACTGGACAAAATAGATTTCGCTTGTTACTTTTATATGAAAATTTAGCTGAATAATAAAAGTAGTAAATTACTATCCAAGCTCTTCAAGCATTGCCGATAGAACACAGTCCATGGTTTTGCTATTCACTCAGAATGTTTTGCTTACACGTTGATCACTTTTTTTAGGCACCTCCATTCATCTTGTACGAAGGCGAAACGCCCAAGAACCCTCTAACCACTGGGACTATCAACGGCCCCATTATTAAGATTGTGAACAGAATATTTCAAAATTTGAACCTGTCGATGGAATTTGTCCTAAAAGATGACCTGCCAGCGGGCGAAAAAACCCTTAGTGGATGGACCGGTCTTTTCGG